GTTATTATATTAATAAATATATATTACTTAATGTATTTAACGTATCTTATTACTACATTATGATTACTATTGTCACTATTCATTTATTATCATTTATTATATCATTCTCATTTTTTTGATTTTTATGATTTAAGAGTCTCTATCAAATCATATATTCTTCTTATTATTTTTGTAATATGTTTTCTAATTAGTTTTAAATATTAATGCATATTTTTTTTTGCATGTTTTTATCTACATATATCGTGTTCAAATCTATCACTTTCGATAAGTTTTTTGTTTTAACATGTGATATATGTTATATTATCTTCTTATATTATATATGTTATCGTTATTATTATTTTTGAATTACGCAAATCAATGAATGAGCGATGAATGAAATTTTTATAAGCGAAATCTACGTCTCACGATTATATTAAATAAATAATTATATTGAATAAAATATAGATACAAAATTTGATAATATATTATTTTAAAAGTTTTATGCGTCAAATTTAGAACAAACCATAATTAAAAAAAAAACTAAATATATTCGTTTAATAGAAAATTCATTGTCGTATAGAAAATCCAGTATCTGGAAGATTCACGTTTCAAAATCAACATAGAGAAATGACTCCACAGAGAACAGAGGACGTTTTACCGTTCGAAACGCGGTTTAGTCTAATTTCAGAGAATCTGAATCCAAAACTATCTTCGGACTGCTGGCAAGACAGTTTGCCTGGAACTGTACTTCTCTCTCTCCCAGGAGATTATCTATTTCGTTTCTTTCCTCTATATCGAACCATTTGCACAATGTTACCCATTTCCTTTATTCATCTCGAAATTTACGATTCATCCGTGTTCACTACTTGCGAATTAGTTGGCATCATTATGCTTTTAAATTTGAATGTTAATAAATTTTTGATAAAAGAATAGACATTAAATGATATTTCATAATTTTTTATATATAATAGACAAAATGGATTTTAACACAAACTTAAATTGCACATAATTTAATAAATAAATCTCAACTGATATTTTTGTATAATCTTTGAATTGATTTCTAGAATAAATGTTTCAAAGATATCCTGAATGATACTGAATATGAATAAACTGTTATTTTGTATGTATATATTATATTATCTAAACAATTCATCATTCAAAAATTCTCTATTTAAACGAAATAAAATATTCTCCTGCTATTTATCAAAAAAATACAAGTATACAGACTATAATTTCATCTTTTCTATAATATGGAGAGTAAAATATATTTTTCTATACTGTAATAAAGAATATTTTAATATTATATTATACATATATCATAGCTTGTATGAATTGTTATAATATTATTATATTGTTTTATTATTGTTTTAAATAAATTATTTTTCTGAGATTCGTGCAAAATTGTTATTCTTTTAAAAATATCGTTATGGATTATTTAATAATCCATAATTTAAATTTTAATATTTAAATATCCATAATTTTATTTCTAGAATTAATTAAAAGTTATATAATTTATTTCAAATAAAAGTACATTAAAAAAAATTGTTGCAAGAAAAATATAAAATCGTGGCAATAATTTCTTTACAAAGGAAATAAGAATTGTTGTGAATTTAATTTTCTTCAAATGAAATTTTTAATTTTATTTTTCAAATGCGGTAGAATAATAAATAATAAGATATAAAGACTATTAAAATATATTATCTACAAAAATATAAATATCTCATATTATGAAATAAAACTTATTTAATAATCTTAGTGTAAACGAAATAATTAATTTTTTTTAATATTGATAATTAATTTCATTAAAAATTTTATTATTTCGCAATAAAAAAAAATTGTAATTAATAGAAATTCCATTTCGAAACAAATATTTGATCTTTATTAAATTATAATTCTTAATTATAATTATAATTAAGTTATAATTAGATGTGTCTTATTAAAAATAAAATATTTTATTTTTTCTAATTTTTCTCTATCATCATTCTTGGAACTTATATATACTTTCCTTTTTTTTTAATAATAATTTCTTAAATTTATTTTTAAAAAGTTCTGTAAAAAATAAACTTTTCCGTTTAAAGCATAAAAGATTCAATTTCCGTTTGACTTTTATAATCTGTGTTGTACTTAATAAAGAAATTCTTACTAAATTATTTTTTCTCAGATATCAAAACTTTTTGACGAAGACATTAAAAAGATTTTATCGGATTTCTTGATGAATAAATTCGATAGTTTGGCAAGAATTACTGAAAAATGGTGCTAAATTCCTCAGTAAGAAAATAATTGTAATTAATAATAATAATATTAATTATTATAATTATATTAACAATTATAATCAAAAATAGCAAATAATAATTCACTTAATTTTTAATTGAGTGAATTATTTTAATAATAATTTTAATAATAATTTTAATATTTCTACGAATCAAAAAGAAATATTATGTGAAAATATAATCTCTTTAAAGTAGAAAGAAAATGTTATCTAAATATTGAATCAAAATAAATTAACAAAAATAAAAAAAATAGAAGCTTGTATTTACTTTATATTTAAAATGCAGAGTAATCAGAATAATCTTTAAAAATTAAATTATAATCATAATATATAATAGATCACAATACAAATATAGATACATTTTACTTTAACAAAAATGTTAAATTAATTCAGTTTTTAGATTTTAATAAATATTTTTATATCAAAAATTATATGTCATATTTTAAAAAATATAGATTTTAATATAACATCATAAAATTGAACGAAGTTGAAAATTAATTAAATTATTAAATTATAAATATGTAATAATTTGTAATAACATAACAATTATTAATAGGACGATATTTTTAATTTTTTTTAAAAATAGATTTTACAATCATTTTAATAATGATTTTATATAAAAAATATTTAAAAAATGTTTAAAAAATGATTATTATTATATATATAATATATTATATATATTTTAT